TGCCCAGTCTTTAGTTTTTATATGGTGTGTTTTGTATAGTGTTGTTTGACTTTTTGTCTTTTTTTCGTTTTTTCCATGGCGTTTTCAGTTTATTTTTGACTTGTGAGTTTGAACTTCCCTTTGGTATCTTTCCTCTCTCTTGTTACATATCAGCAAACATCAAACCTAATTGGAGTCGGATCGCCTGGAATGACCGATGCTATACGAAATGGGGAAAATATAGAAGTCTAAAAATTCAAGCAACGATATCAATAAGAAATATATTATATTCACGAAAAAAAAAAGATTAATTAAAAGCGTATTAAAAGACTGAGAATATTTCGTTACATCAAATTACGTTTGTCAGCGTCGTTCTTTTTTCATAATGAAATGATATTCTGATATTTTTTTTAAAGTAATTGATATTTATGATGTACTTTAATACGGAAGCGTACTAGCGCCACACACACCTTTTTTTAGCTCACCTGCAAGGGCCAGGTGAGCTTATGCCATCACTTGGCGTCCGTCGTCGTCGTCGTAAACTATTTCAAGAATCTTCTCCTCTGAAACTACTGGGCCAAATACTATCAAACTTTAACTGAATGTTCCTTAGGGTATCTAGTTTATAAATTTTATCCGAAGTTTTGATCCATCAACAAACATGACCGCCATGGCTAAAAATAAAAAATAAGGGTCAAATGCAGTTCTTGGCTTATATCTCAAAAACTAAATAACTAGTATTTAGAGCAAATCTGATATAGGGTAAAAATGTTCAATAGGTCAAGATCTATCAGCCATGAAATTTTCAGACGAACCGAACAATCCATTGTTGGGATGCTACCACTAAATTGGTAATTTTAAGGAATTTTTTTGCAGTTTTTTGTTATTATCATGAAGATTAAAAATGTTTAACAAAGTAAGATCTACAAAAAAGTTAATATGATCAAAATTGTCAATTGACCCCTTAAGGAGTTATTGTCCTTAAAAGACGATTTTACACCATTTGTTCATCATGTTTGCTAACATTTAAAAATCTTCTCTTCTGAAACTACTGGGCCTAATACTTCAAACTTTAACTGAATGTTCCTTAGGGTAACTGGTTTATAAATTGTATCCGAAGTTTTGATCCATTAACAAACATGACCGCCATGGCTGAAAATAGAACATAGGGGTCAAATGCAGTTTTTGGCTTTTATCTCAAAAACTATAGCAGTTAGAGCAAAAGTGATGGAGTTTCAGTGATGAATAAGTCAAAATCTATCTGCTATGAAATTTTCAGACCAATTGGATCACCCATTGTAGGGTTACTGTCCGAAATAGTTTATTTTTATGAAATTCTACTGTTTTTTGTTACTAGTATTATCTTTAATATTATAATAGATAGAGAGAAAGTGTAAATGGCAAAAATGTTCAGCTAAGTAAGATCTTCAAATAAGTTAAATGATCAAAATAGTCAATTGACTCCTTAAGGAGTTATTGCCCTTGAAACGTTTCTTTTTTACATTTTTTCGTGCAAGTCTATTACTTTTCAAACCTCTTCTCCTCTGAAACTACTTGGCCAAATACTTCTAAACTTTAACTGAGTGTTCCTTAGGGTATCTTGTTTATAGAGTGTATTCGGGGATTTGATCCATTCAAAAACATGGCTGCAGTTTCTAAAAATAGAACATAGTGGTCAAATGAAGTTTTTGGCTTTCATCTCAAAAACTAAAGCAGTAATTGCCAAACTGACATAGATGAAAGTGTGAAACAGGTTTTGATCTACCTGTCAAGTAATCTTCAGACCAATAGGACAACTTATTATTGGGTTACTGTCCAGAAACAGTTAATTTTTAGGAAATTTTACAGTTTTGGGTTATGTATTATCTTTAATATTATTATAGAAAGAGAGAAAGTGTAAATGACAAAATTGTTCAGCAAAGTAAGATCTACAAATAAGTCAAATGCCTGAAACTGAAATTGTAGGTGAGCGATATCAGGCTCTCAATGTGCCTCTTGTTTATATTTCTTCCTATGTTTGCGTTATAACGCAAACCTTTGCGAAATAACGGAAACCTTCCCGAAATAACGCAAACCTATGCGTATAACCTATATATATATTACAAAGAAAATTGAGTAAATTGAAGTTACACTGAAGAAAATAAAAAATCAACCCTGGTAATGTAGCTGAATTTAAATATACTTCCAAAGTAAGGGCTCGTTTGAGTATTGTGTAAGATTGATTAGATTCAAACAAACTACCCTATTAAAATAAATGTATAAGATAATTTTTTTTATTGTAATTATAATTAATGTGTTCTACACTCAAATTGCTACCCAAACATTTTAAAATAGCTGTATTACTAGACTGAAATTTAAAACCCCATGATTTTTTATCAACGAATCTTTATCATAGTCTGCGATTTCAGCAAAAGATTTCTTACAACAAAATTTATTATTATTTATTCGAAATAATTCATTTTAAAGCCAAAAGATCATTTTGTCTATTTGACTTTATAGTTTCACAATTGTATGAAAATTGTTTTGCTCTTCTCTTCTTTGCCACTTCCAGTAAATCAAAATTTTCAAAATCTTGGCATTTCAATTCAAATTTTCCTGCACCATATCTATTTTCATGTTAAATTTATATAATTTTCTGATACAAAAATCTTTTTTAATTTGTGTATGATTGCGATACAAGTATTTCCTTATTCCTATGTATATTTATCATAATGATTTGGCCTTGTGTTCATGGTCCTTTTCTTAACTAAATCACAACCAAATTTTACTGGCAAATGACGATATTTACAAAACACTGCTTTCAAAGTAGAAAATAAACATAAAATGTAAATTCAATATAGTTTTTGATTATGAAATATTCAAACCTAATGACTTATTAAAATCAAAATGTTAAGGTTATAACGCAAAGGTTTGCGTTATTTCGCAAACATAGGAAGAAATCTAAAAACATTTTTTTTAGTGTGTGTGGCGCTAATACGCTTCCGTACTTTAACATTGCAAAATGGACGTTCATTTTTGAAGAAAATACTCTTATATGTGTGCCTTTTCTGTAAATGAATGAAATATTTAGTGAATTTGATTTTTTTTTAATATTGAATACAAATCTGTGAATATTCTGCAAAAAGAACCAGTCGATGTCTGTTGTTTATTACTGTTTTCAATGGTGTACTGATAAAAACCTCTAAAATTTGGTTTGCAAAGGTTGTAAAAGAATTACCACCATCGTCGTAAGTTTAAAATACCAATCTTCTTCATATGCAGTTTTTCATTCAAATAAAAACAACTCCAAGTACTTCCCTGAAATATTGTTTTAATTATTGTCATTATGATATTGGTAGCAGGGACGAACGTTTGCAATATATCACTACAGTTAGTTTTCGAGTTCTCAGTATCCTATTATTTGCATGGATTGTTTATCCTGTTAGTAGGTAATAAGCAGTATTGTATATTGTGAGTGCTAAATTGGGAGGGTAAAGATGTTTTAACTTTTCAATTAGTTTAAATAATCAAATATCAGTCTGTATAAATAAAATATAAACACTATTTGAAGAAGTTTCAGCCAAATAAAGTATATCCTTTTACTTTACCAATAGTAACAGGATAGAATTTTTATATCTATTAATGCTATCGTGAAATAACTACTTATTTCGGTAATAATTGTTTTTTTGTGGGTTTTTTTGTTTTTTTTTTGTTTCCAAAACGTTATTGCAATTTTTATAAGGGTAATATTACACTATGTATTTTCTGGGACTATTATACTAGTTAGTATAATAGTCCCAGGTATTGTCATTGATAAATTTGATGATGAGATCATAGACATGATAGAAGGATACGCACAGAATTCAGTGACGCACTCACTAAATTGCTCGAATTTTCTTTCTCTATACATTAATGGCATTATGCAAAAAAGGTTGTCTACAATTTAAAAAAAAAAAGATGTTCTGAGCTTTTGAAATCGTCAATTTGTGTCTGTTAAAACATTATTTTATTCATGCTGTCTCTTTATTCTTATTAAATAGATAATAATAAGTTAAAATATTAAACTGAGAATATTCAGGGACCAGTCATTTGTTACTGTCATGAATGGGAGGCTGAGAGGACTAGACATGGACCTTGACATTTTTTGGTAAATTAAAATGTCCGTAACCGGTATCCAATTTTCAACTCTTCAAATAGATTTTTTTTACTACGAAAATCTGGGACATAATATATTAGTATTATAGTCCCAGGTAGAATTGAGCAACTCGATCCGTCTTTTAAACATGCAGAAAAGATAACTTATAAAATTGTTTAGTGGTGAATACCGTGACTAAAATTTTATTTGGTTCGTCAGCAGAAGTATCTGTATCACTTGCATGAAGGATCTCAATTTATTTGTCGACTCGCCCCGCTTGTCACAATTGTTAAGCTCAAAATCCTACTTATTCATATCTGGTAAAAGTGTCAGTGGTGAGCCTGAGTACCATAACAGGCATATATATATAGTCTGCATACTGAGTGGGTCCCATGAGGTCAGAAACAACTTCCCCGTTTGATGGTATAGATCCACTACTGATGCAATATTGTATTGTAAACAATTATTTTATAATAGTCATTATTATGCATTCTTTTACGTGTTTGTTATGGAAAAAATGGTATTGAGAGAGATTGTTTGGGGGGCCAAGTTGCCAGTGTTGAAATTGTCATGTATTTAGAAGGGGTCTCAGATTTATTTTCTTTTTTCAAGGTGGGGCTTGAAATATATAAAGAGACATTTCAAGAATTCTTCCCAGACCCCAAATGAAATAAAATGACCAGTTATTTCTGAAAAACTTTATTATTAAACTTTGACAAAAAAGGGGGACCAATCCCCAAAGCATTTGTGGTTTGTCTTTGCAATTTTTAAAACTTTGAGAAACATATTTAATTTCGATTTTTGCTTTGTTATTTTGTTATTTTTTTATTGTTTGTATTGAATTTCTAATTTTACAAGCCATTTGTGTGAATTGTGGATTATTTTCTCTTGACAGATAGGGGGCGTATGGATCGCCTATTTATTCCGCCATATTGTTGCTGATTCAGAAACACAATTTCTGGGTTTTATACAAATTTAGGTATAAAACACCATACAATGATGTCCAAAAATGAAAGACAGAATGAGTCTGCACATTCAATTATTATAGCCTGCGTTTCCTTTCTTTTAAATCTAGATATCAACCGAAAATCGCAGATAAACATTGAGAGCAGACGGTTTGACAGTCACCCCTCCCCTTACAACCTGTCATTACGCTGTTACTAAAATGAAACGATACAATAACCGTATGACATTAAAACGAATATGATTTTGTTTTTCCTTACAGTTAAGGATCTGACCTAGTTATTTAAGAGCAGCTGACCAGTAGAATTGAGAGGGGGTAAACAGTAGCTGGTGAAAACTATATATTTTTTGGTGGGATGAATACTTGATGACTTGTCCATCTTGTCAGAGTAGTTTAGTTCATGTCATCATATTTTTAAGCATTTATAGAGCATGCTCATTTTTAGACTATACTGTCCAGGTTATGCTCATTGTTGAAGACGGTATGTCATTTGAACTCGGGTGGATAGTTGTCTCATACACCTTATCGCTATTTGTCTGCCATTACTGGACATCACACAGATTCCCGTAAAATTTTGACGTCACAATACAAAATATCTGACGCACAATGGAAAAGTGATTGTTGTATGACGTCAAAAGTTCAAGCGGGACAGAATCTCGGGTCAGCCGGGAATAGCGATAAGGTGTATTGGCTCCTTATTTTTTAAAGAATCAATAAAAGTCTTGAAATTGGATAAGTCAGGGCCGTAACTACATTGAGGCAAATGAGGCATTTGTTAAAAATTCCCAAAAAGAAAAATAATAGGTTGAAACAAAAGCTTGTCTTCATTTAAGAATTGAATGCTTCTTTTTGTAATTTTATTGGGGTGTAAAAGTGTTGACCGAAGCACATTTTGTATGAAGCGCGGAAGCGCTTCCTTCTAGAATGTGTGCACGATCAACACTTATATTTACACTTGTTTGAAGTTTGTCTACTATTGTCATGGAATAGAAGTTCCTTCATAATATAAGTTCAAAAGGAAAAAATATTCTGGAATATTATTTCCACAGGAATAAATATTAAAGTATATGTTCCTAGTGGAATTAAAGGTATAGAATATTTGTTCCAACAGGAATAGATATTATGACATTGTTTATAACAAAGTTTCCAGTGGAACTTCTGTTAGGCGGAACAAATATACGTTGACACCATTACTTAAACCACACAATTTCTAAAAAAAATATTGCATCACAAATTAATGTCATGGAACAGTAAATGGGCTATTTCATGCAGGGATCTCCATTACCATGATTACCTGTTTTATGATGGCGCACCACCAGCTTTATACATTTATTATCTCCCGCCAATTCAAATGATGCATGCCATGGTTAAATGATACCACCATAGTTCAATAATTGTTGTATGATTGAAAGGTGTAGTCAAAATGTGAATCTTCAGGCTTTAGGAAACAACTACTTCTGGTTACTTGTCCTGGTAAACCCTGATTGAGAAAATCCAAATTTTTGATTTAAATTGCCTTTCACTGCCATACCTACACTGGGGTCCACTCTCCATGCGGGCAACAGAAAGATACACCTATATGCATCAATGGGTCCAAATCCGTGTTTTTTGCACCTGCTGGTCAACTTTGGAGCAGAATTCTGGTTATTGTTAGGACGAAATGTAAATTAGGCCTAGTTAACAGTTTTTATAAAGTTTACTCACATTTAAACCATGCCAATATTTCCTCGTACATTTTTTTACAACTCTGATCAGCTAGTCAAAGTGCATGTACTTTCCTAAAAATATGTAAACTGAATGTTCTATGAGATAAAGCATAAAATGATTTTTTTCTTTTTTTCAGTACAAAGATGGCGGCAGGCCCTTATAATTATTCATATATATTTAAATATATCATAATAGGAGATATGGGAGTTGGAAAATCATGTTTACTGCATCAATTTACAGAGAAAAAATGTAAGTAAAATGCACATGCCTGTGTATATCTAATGTCAGTCTTCTCCCCAGGTTGATATGACACCGGTTGTGCATCGCCTCCTGAATATTTTGTGGTTGTCACATTTATATTGAAAATAGCTTTTACACGGCTTTATTGTCGTTAACCTATGTGGGTTTACTAGTCCACTTCCGAAAGGACTGGCAGGGACACCCTCATTCCAATGATATTCCAGCCTGTGCTGAAGGAACATTATGACATCAGAATTAACGGGAATTCAGTTGAAATAAGACGGAAACTACTGTCTGTAACCTTATTGATAAATAGATTTACTTTCTTTAGGTGATATATTGTTCCAACGGTGTGTATATATATATAATATATGAAAATAACTCCTAAATTTGATTGCTACCATTAATGTAATTTTATTTTCGTAGAATAAGATTATGAGCTTGAAACACATTTCTTTTTAAATTTGCATATTCCGTTAACTCTGGGAAAATTCATTCCCATTACAAAGGTTTGTACCAAATATCAGAATGTAAAGAAATATAAACAGAAATGTTGATGAGACAGCTGCCCTACAAATGATCACCAAAGTAGAAATCAATAGATTCATATGAGTTGTGATTCATCTGTCACTAAATTTCTCTCTAAACTCATATAAGTATAACTTCTATCGTACATGAGAGAAACATTTGCAACCAGTAAAAGTTGGTTAGTAAACTGCCATTGGTTCCAGCACAATAACTTTGAATAACAATGAATAAGAAGGACCTTATTTGCATTACTGGTAAATTTAATTGGTTGTTAGAAAAAGTTTTACTTAAGGTGGCTTGGATGTCTTCCTCCATCTTGGATTTTGAATTAGCAGATGACAATTGGTCTACATCTTTAATGAAATGTGCAAATTTTGAAAGCAGTATGTAATTCATGTGTAAGACTTTTCATGTTAATATAGAAAATAATGTGTTTTATCATATTTACGGCTGTATTTTCTAAAAAACACAATATTTTTGTTTGATTCATTTTTTTTCCAACTTTGCCACATAAGGAGAGATAAGAGTCCGGTGACCCATACTTTTTATTATATTTTGGAAAAAAGCATGATAAAAACTACATTATGACAAATTATTAAAAAAATCTATGGATTTTAACTAAACTTATCCACCTTAATTACTGGTCAAATTTGGATGAAACTGGGATAAAAATATGTTTCTGACAACCTTGCTAAACCAACGGAATCTATACATGTATGTTAAAATGCTCTGGATGTCTTGTGTCATGTGAAACACAAAACATTTTTTTAAGCATAAAAAAACCAATAAACTGGTGTAACAGCACAACATAAGAACACAATATGAAAATCAGTTGAAATGTCATCTTAAACCAAATGTCATCCAAGTAAGGTACTTTCCCATTTAAATGTACAAAAATGTATCTCTCCTGTTAACTTATTTCAGAAATAATAGTTAGGAGAAATGTTAAAAAACCTTAGCTTCTATGAAATGCTACATATTGCATTTGACATGGTTTTTGTTGGTGAACCATATTTTATATATAGAATTGAAGTTGACAAAAACAGGTAAAATGGATAATTTTTGTTTTTGTTTTTCAGTCATGGCAGATTGTCCACACACAATAGGAGTAGAATTTGGTACACGGTAGGCTTTTTATGTATTGCATTGGAATTATTAAAATAAATGTTGAAATTTAAGTAAGCAAAAATTTCAGCCATAGAACATACATGACAAGAAATATGTGCATGCTACACCCAAGGTCAATTAACACAGAAAATATGTGTATGCTACACCCAAGGTCAATAAACACAGGAAATATGTTCATGCTACACCCAAGGTCAATAAACACAGGAAATGTGTACATGCTACACCCAAGGTCAATAAACACAGAAAATATGTACATGCTACACCCAAAGTCAATAAACACAGGAAATATGTGCATGCTACACCTAAGGTAAAAAAAAATAGGAAATAATTATGTGCATGCTACACCCAAAGTCAATAAACACAGGAAATATGTGTATGCTACACCCAAGGTCAATAAACACAGGAAATATGTGCATGCTACACCCAAGGTCAATAAACACAGGAAATATGTGCATGCTACACCCAAGGTCAATAAACACAGGAAATGTGTACATGCTACACCCAAGGTCAATAAACACAAAATATGTACATGCTACACCAATTTGCAATAAACACAGGAAATATGTGCATGCTACTCCTAAGGTAAAAAAGAACAGGAAATAATTATGTGCATGCTACACCCAAAGTCAATAAACACAGGAAATATGTGCATGCTACACCCAAGGTCAATAAACACAGGAAATATGTGCATGCTACACCCAAGGCCAATAAACACAGGAAATATGTACATGCTACACCCAAGGTCAATAAACACAGGAAATGTGTACATGCTACACCCAAGGTCAATAAACACAGGAAATATGCTCATGCTACACCCAAGGTCAATAAACACAGGAAATATGTACATGCTACACCCAAGGTCAATAAACACAGGAAATATATACATGATACACCCAAGGTCAATAAACACATGAAATATGTACATGCTACACCCAAGGTCAATAAACACAGGAAATATTGATGAATGTCCTTGATTCACTCTTAATTAAGTTTAGTTATTGTGGATACATTTATATTTGTGGTACCAATATTTGAGGATATGCACTCTTGATAGAAGAAGTGGATACTAGATTTTGTGGTTTTGCAAATGTTTCCAATCAAACCTATAGGAAATTTATATTGTATTGATCTTTGATCTTTGTACTTTATTTATGTTTTGAGATAAGTAAAAGCTATAAACCATGAAACAGGAAGAATATATGATAATATAGATATTAAATATGGAGATAAGTTAACAGGAAAAAATTGTGTTTAATTCACCTTGTTTGTAATAAATATGTAATACATACATACAATTGTATTAATAAAGTTAAGCATAAGCTGTAAACAAGAAATAAATTTGCTAATATCAATGTGGCAACTCATTCAGGAAAATTGAACTGCACAAAATATTACTCACATAGAGTATTTTACACATAGTTATATATGTGAAGTTATGAACACAAATAGGGTTCTTGGTAACACAACTAGATGTGTCCCTGGTGTATGATTTTAATCTTGGATACTAGTTTTTGTTTTACTGTGCCTCCAAAGGACACATACATATTTTTCTGAGTCTAGTAGTTTAAAAAAATACCCTATTGATGAATGTCAAATCCATCACTGTTTGCTGACTTTTAAGTTTTACATACATGACATAAATTCTTTAAACTTTTGATTCAGAGATTTGAAAAATGTTATCTGTCATTCTGTCTGACATACAGTGCAATAAAAAAAATTGTGGTAAATTCATTAAAAAAGGCCTACAATGTACCTTCCCTTTTAACATTGTAATTCGTAAAAGTGAAAACAATAATATTGATAGTCTCAAACTGATCATTTTCATACCTAAACCTTACTTTAGATAAATATAGTAGTGATGCATTGAAGATGTGGGTTATACACCACTAAACCCAGATAAATCAGTTAGTCATTTGGAATGTGACATACATGAACCTGCATTGTAAATAGAATATTTTAAAAGAATAACTTATACCTTCAGTTGTTGTATTTTCTCCTTTACACATGTGTGAGGTGTTTAGTTGTTGTATATACCCATTTTAACACAATAGGAACATTTTCCTGACATGTTAAACAAATAATGAAGATAACTCTTACATGAGCAAATTTTTCTCATATTTCTTAACAAAGAGTTTAATGACAGTTTTGCAGCTAAACTTTATTACATTGGTCATGTTCATTTCAGAATAATTGAAGTCTCAGGACAAAAGATAAAATTACAGATATGGGATACAGCAGGTCAAGAAAGATTTCGAGCTGTCACACGAAGTTATTACAGAGGAGCTGCAGGTGCATTAATGGTTTACGATATAACACGGTAAGATAGGTTCACATTAATGGTAAGACAGATTCAGTTTTGAAGAATAACGAAATGTAAGATTAATATTTGTGTATGACACAACATGGTATTAATTACTTTCTAATTATCTGACATAGTGTTATTGAAGGACGCTCTATTTATGTTTATGGTCACATTATTAGGATCTACCCACTCAGAACCCTTCTAAATTTCAGATTTGATATCTGATAGTTACTGATTTAGGATCCTCACTTTGACAATAAATGCTATACAATAAGCAAATTAACTGATCACCCTGGAAAGTATATTAGAAGGAAAGGATATCTTAGCATATGAATAAAAGGAGATAAGGGGTAGATGTTAATGAGACACCAACCCAATGACTCAAAATACCAAAACGTATCTAGAGGTCAACTTATGGTCTTGAAGCAGTTGTACGTACAAACACTAAATCTCCACAAGTCCAAATTTAAAAGTATCGAAGATGTACAATCAACACCATTTCACTTTCACAATCAGATAAAAAGCAACCTCAGTGTACCGTCATCTTTTGTGGGGACTGACAAATGCAATAAAGATATTATATAGAAAAGACGACAATGGACGAAGTTCCTAAAGGTGTCGGGCACATGTCATTTGGATAGTTCAAAGTAGTATTATTCTTCAGATATCATCTCTCCCTTGTCTAATTTTTTTTTTCAGTTGAATAATGGAAGGAGGTGAACTTTCAATAAAACTGGAGGAAACAAACTTTTTGTAGGAGATGACATTAAAAAAATATTGGGTTGAATTTTAACTTTACACTGCAATCATATTAATTTTCCTAGCTTGTAAATTCTATAGCTTCACTTCTAAAATCATTTTTGTATACTTTCAAAGTTTTAAGCTGATATGAGTTATTGGGGTACTTTTGAGATTTGTATTCAGGAGGGATATATCACATGCTAGCCATTAATGTTGTATGTTTAGGGGAGGGAGATGTCAGATGCTAGCCATTAATGTTGTGTGTTTAGGGGAGGTAGATGTCACATGCTAGCCATTAATGTTGTATGTTTAGGGGAGGGAGATATCACATGCTAGCCATTAATGTTGTATGTATAGGGGAGAGAGATGTCACATGCTAGCAATTAATGTTGTATGTATAGGGGAGAGAGATGTCACATGCTAGCAATTAATGTTGTATGTATAGGGGAGGGAGATGTCACATGCTAGCAATTAATGTTGTATGTTTAGGGGAGGTAGATGTCAGATGCTAGCCATTAATGTTGTGTGTTTAGGGGAGGTAGATGTCACATGCTAGCCATTAATGTTGTATGTTTAGGGGAGGGAGATATCACATGCTAGCCATTAATGTTGTATGTATAGGGGAGAGAGATGTCACATGCTAGCAATTAATGTTGTATGTATAGGGGAGGGAGATGTCACATGCTAGCCATTAATGTTGTATGTATAGGGGAGGGAGATATCACATGCTAGCCATTAATGTTGTATGTTAAGGGAAGGGAGATGTCAAATGCTAGCCATTAATGTTGTATGTTTAGGGGAGGTAGATGTCAGATGCTAGCCATTACATTGTATGTTTATGGGAGGGAGGTATCTCATGCTAGCCATTAATGTTGTATGTTAAGGGAAGGGAGATGTCAGATGCTAGCCTTTAATGTTGTATGTTTAGGGGAGTAAGATGTCAAATGCTAGCCATTAATGTTGTATGTTTAGGGGAGGGAGATATCACATGCTAGCAATTAATGTTGTATGTATAGGGGAGGGAGATGTCAGATGCTAGCCATTACATTGTATGTTTAGGGGAGGAAGGTATCTCATGCTAGCCATTAATGTTGTATGTTAAGGGAAGGGAGATGTCAGATGCTAGCCTTTAATGTTGTATGTTTAGGGGAGGGAGATGTCACATGCTAGCCATTAATGTTGTATGTTTAGGGGAGGGAGATATCACATGCTAGCCATTAATGTTGTATGTTTAGGGGAGGGAGATGTCAGATGCTAGCCATTAATGTTGTATGTTTAGAGGAGGGAGATGTCACATGCTAGCCATTAATGTTGTATGTTTAGGAAAGGGATATGTCACATGCTAGCCATTAATGTTGTATGTTTAGGGGAGGGAGATGTCATATGCTAGCCATTAATGTTGTATGTTTAGGGGAGGGAGGTATCACATGCTAGCCATTAATGTTGTATGTTTAGAGGAGGGAGATATCCCATGCTAGCCATTAATGTTGTATGTTTAGAGGAGGGAGATATCCCATGCTAGCCATCACTTGTTTTATCTTTACAGGAGAAGTACATATAATCATTTAAGTAGTTGGTTAACAGATGCCAGAAATTTAACAAATCCAAATACAGTAAGTACAAACACTATTGACTAGCGACAGACAATCTGACAACATGCCAAGTGCCTGATTGAATAGTGTCAACATGTTATCCACAATACTAGACCTCATAGGAACAATTATATGCATGGTCATTATCATATATTATTTACTAAAATGTATTATTCTCCAACTTGTTACTAGTTGTATGAAATTCTAATTTTATAAATTCCACTTAAAATTAGGATTTCAGCACTAATATTATTTATGCAAACATTACCCTGGTACATACAAACTGCATATCTGTTATGGCTGGCATAACGAATTAATACATAGTCCATCAGTCCATCTTCTGTTGTATGAGCTACACATTATTCAAAACTTGAGTCTTAAACTGTGCATGGGTTTTCATAGAAATGTTATCTGACACCTCTTATAAAATATTATGTGTGTTTTTGTTATTGGATAGTCTGCATGAAGGTCAAAATTATTTAAAGTGCTTTTCATTTTCCACATAAATTTAGCTTTGTATATTTATATTAACTTGAAATATTAGTGGGTCAAAGGGAAGACTTGTGATATAAGAGATCATCATAAGTGAGAAATTAAATAATGATAAACAGGTTGATACATGGCGCTTTCCACATCAGCCCGTTTATAATCCTGAGACCCCAAATTAAGGCCTCAGGTAAGGATTTCTCATCAGTCATGTCAAAGTATTATTATCAAAAGCCTTTATATTATATACCTGAAAATTTTATAAAATTGTTTATTAATTTAAAAAGATGTAAGACACCAGAGGTTAGGTTGAATAAGGAGCATGAGAGGTCCATGATTATGGGTTATCAGCCCAGGTCACAAAAGGGGAACTTTATAAAGGCTTATATCAGTCTTGGTAGGCTGATATGGGCTGCTAACTTCCGGGGGTATTACAGTATTTACCTATGCAAAACGAAACATATTTTTGTTTATGTGATAAAACAGCATATTTGCTTCCTGTTACGATATATGTGATTATTGGGAGTAAGAGAAAGTTTGCTTCCTGTTTAAACATAAATCTGCAGATTTTCATTCTATTATTTATTTCTCTCTCCCATAAAAAATAAGTTGCTTGAACATTTTTTGTCCTAAAGCATTTATTTCATACACATGGTTTCAGCTAGGATTTTGAGGGCTTTAGTCACTTTTGAGCGAGATGAAAATCAACCTTTTATGGGGTAAAATCAATGGACCAAAGATATGTATTACTAGCTATACATCTTTGAAGGACTTAGGCATGCTCAGGCAGTTATTGCATAATTTGATAGATGTGTTGCTTAAATATGAAGATTATAATAAGATCTAATAAGGATCCGGATTTCTAGTTAACAATTTCACTTCAGTTATTTTCAGGGGACATTCCTGATCAACAAAAGTTGTGTTCCTTTTTTTTAAAACCAGAATCACAGCATAAATGAACCTGTAACGACTATTTCACTGCATAATCATTATCCTTGTAAAAATTGTTAAATCGATATTTGGAACACTGTTCATTTCTATAAAATTAGAACCAAGGAAAATACAAATCCTTGTTGGAACGATTCTAATGACTGTATAATGTAAATTAATCAAGAATAGATCAGGTTTACTTTCGATTTTAAAATGAAATGAAAATGGGAAGTGACAGGAGGATGATAAATTCAGAATAAATCCGGATTCATTTACGGATAGGTTCGTTTTTAACAGAAGGCAAGAAATTATCATATTTCTAAATCAATTTGCTTAGTAAGAAATATATTTGTCTCCTCGTTTATTTTGGTACTAAATGATTACCTATTTTACGTTTTAATGTCTAATTTATAAGAATACTTCCACGCATGTGCAGTACATAGTAAAGGAAGCACCTGTTTGACTCGTGGAAATATTTCTGAATGTTTTGAATAAAGTTCTTTCTCTTTAATCGAAATTGTTGAAAGTTTTTGATGAAAAGTCATATATATAAAATATGACGAAACTACAACAAACGAACTGCAAATTGTGATCGTTTGAGAAATATTGTAATTAAAATGTGAACTGTCAGCGGGGAGAAATATTTTGTTCAAATGACAAAACTATGATAAACGAACTGCAAATTGTGGTCATTTGAGAAATATTGAAATTGAAATGCAGACTGACCGATTTTACTGGGAAAAATAATTATGATGGTCAATAATTTATAATTACATTAGATGTATGTTTCATTTTAATACGTTATTCTGATTGGCTAACTGCAATTTTGCGTTATTCCTTAATCAACTTCATTACACAATGAAATTTATCATTCATGATGACACGAGGTCCCACAATAAAGTGCAAAGGTAAATTAAATAAAAACTTGATAAAAATCCTGTTTTCATGATCCTAGCTAAAAAATGTAATTATAAGTATTGAATGCTTCTTTTTGTAACTTCATAGGGTTGTAAAAGCGTTGACCGTGCGCACAAAATGTACTTCGGTCAACGCTTTTACACCCCAATGTAGTTACAAAAAGAAGCATTCAATTCTTAAATGAAGTTTATTAATTAACGAATTAGTGATCCATCCGATCGCGATAAGCTGATTACCTGTAAACACAGCTTATAACACCTGTTGTAAACGTTAATAAGATGAGGTTCATAAACTTGTCAAATACATGAAGACAGGTAGAATTATAGTATTTTCATGCGAAAATATTTTTACACTTTTCAACATGAAGTGACGAAATTGATTTGAAAAAATTTCCAGTGATCGGGAAGGACGTGCGCCTTGCGCCAATTGCGCTTATTGACCAGAAATGGCGCATAAAGTAACAAATGTCAGCGCCCGCGTGGCGCATGATATTTCTTACTTCGTTTTGAAACGTTGAGATATCGTCAAATGGATTTCCGATCATATTTCGTGCCGCCATGTGTGAGTACACAACTGTGTAGTGTTCACTCCAATGATAGGAGCACCTATATATTTTTTCGGACGTCTCGGGTGTTTTCCTATGGTAATAATAGCAACATGCGGTATGACTGATTACCCAAAAAACGTAATAAAACATCATTCATGATATAATTTTTTATAAACAACTTTAATTGTGAAAATTGGCTAGTACAGGGGAGAATTCTTCTCTAATTATAATCGTTTAAGTAAGCTTGCTATTATTTCGATTGAAAAACCCAAAAGCCTTTTTATGCATAGTATAGTATTTTTCTCCATAAAAGGGGCTTAACTGTCCTTGTCAATTGTTTTGGTCTTTGGCTTGTTTTGACATTTTGTAAACATGCCTTCAGCGAATTGTTGTTGTGTCTTATCAATTAACGTTGCTCTCTACTGCTATTATTGTCATCGTGATGAAGTAATAATAATACAAGTGCAGAGGAAATGCCAGAAACGTCCTCTAATACGGAACGTCTGGAATAAGTATGGTATCGACGAAGACCCAAATTTAATGTAAAAAAAAAACATGAACATGAACAAGGGAACAGTACCAGTTTTAACATTGTAAATAAAGGTTATCGTAAATATTGCCGGGTTTGGAAGAAGTTATTGTATATTCATTGAAATTGAAATTACAAAATCACAGGAACAATATCCATGATATTAATTAGAATCATACTTGTAAGTACAGTGAAATATACACTTTTTTATTGTAAACGAATGGCCCACTCATTTGACAACATGGCCCATTAATTCTAAAAATGGCCCATTGAATTTATTTTTGGGGGGCCCTGGGCCCATAGAGAAAAAATCCTTCCAGATCACTGCTTTCGTCATTTTGAAAAACTTTTTGTAAATGACAAAAATGACGAGCGCTAGCAAATCACTGTTCATGAACTTGTTTGCTTTTAATTGAATCTTGGTCAGTTGAAGAAACATATGTATTCAAAACAGTAAAACCACATTTTGTGCCTTTACTTTGTCAGGCTATCTGGTCCTTGTTTTGTTCATTGTTTGTTCTTGCTTGTATGTGTTGTGGGTTTTTTTCCGTGAAGTCTTGTTCTGTTAAATATTTTTTTTAGTCCCCTATTGACGAAGTCGAGAGGACTTTAGATTTGCACTCCGTCTGTCTGTGCATCTGTCTGTCTGTCTGTCTGTCTGTCTGTCTGTCCATCTGTCAGTCTGGCAAATCAGTTTTCCACTCTTTTTTTCTTTGTGCTTGAAGATATTGATTTGATATTTGGTGTATTGTTTTATCATGACAAGTTACAGATCAAGTTCGAATTTTGTTCCGGTCTGACCATTTTGTGCAGAGTTATGGTCCTTGAACTTAGAAAATTCACTCAAATAATCAGTTTCCTCACTTTTTTTCGTCATGCTTGAAGATATTGATTTGATAATTGGTATATAGTTTTATCATGACAAGTTACAGATCAAGTTTGAATTTTGTTCCGGTCTGATGATTTTGTGCAGAGTTATGGTCCTTGGACTTAAAATAGTTCACTCAAATAATCATTTTCCACATTTTTTTTCGTCATGCTTTCTAGATATTGACTTGATATTTGTTATATTGTTTACACCATGACAAGTTATAGACCAAGTTAGCATTTTGTTCCAGTACAATGAATGTTTAACTGGTAGGGGACTATGTATTGCTAGGCAATACTCACAGAATGCTCGTTATTCCTGTTATCCTTTTCATGTATAATACAACTTGAGGTGGCTAATTTTATTATTTAACATCCTATGTTCAAAATCCCAGATGGAAAAATTAATTTTACATTATACTTTGCAGGGGGTTATCGGATCCTGAAATCCGTGTTTTATCTTTTTATACGACCGCAAAAATTAAAAATTTTTTGGTCGTATATTGGTATCTCGTCGTCGTCGTAAGCGTCGTTCGAAGACAGATGGTTTCCGGATAATAACTTTAGTAAAGGTAAATAGAAATCAATAAAATTTTAACACAAGGTTTATAACCACTAAAGGAAGGTTGATTTTGGGGGTTATGGTCCCAACTGTTTAGGAATTAGGGGCCAAAAAAGGGGCCCAAATAAGCATTTTTGTAGTTTTCAGACAATAACTTGTGTTAAAGTGTATGAATCTCTCTGAAATTATACCACAAACTTCCATACAACAAAGGGATGGTTAGGATTGACTTTGGGGGGTTATGGCTCAAACCATTAAGTAATTAGGGGCAAAAAAGGGGAAAAACAAGGGTTTTTTTGGTTAAAGGACAATTGAGACAATTTAATAGCAGTGTAAGGGAGGTAATCCAATTCAAGTTAAAGAACACTGTTTGATTACCTCCCTTACACTGCTTGTAAATTATGTTTTAAGAAATGATGATTGTCTTGAGGTGTTTAGCTGTCAATTTATTTTTAGCAGTTACTATTAATTAATATTAATTTTAGCCATGACTATGTATGTCATTTAATATTTTAAAACTTTTATGATGTATTTAAATGGGTAATTTTGGTTGCAAACTGCATTAGAAAATTTGAATTGAGATACTGACCATATCTTGAGGGAAAGAATTTTTTTGGGGAATAAGGGAAAGGGGGAGGTGAAAACAATTGGAAGGGGGGGGGACAATTTTTCTCATTTCAGATTTCAGAAATTAAAAGGAAATTTCTTCAAATATTTTTTTTGGGGGTTAATATTCAACAGCATAGTGTATTGCACAAAAAGCAAAAAACCCGGGTTAAATAAAAAACTTTTGGTAGGGGAGGGGGTCAATTCGCAACAGCATAGTGTATTGCACAAAAGCAATAAATTGAATATAAATTCAAATCATATAACCAATTTGAAGTTCTTTGACTACAGTTATTCTGTGTCAGAAACCTATTATGTGTCAAAAATTTCGTTACAATTCAAATTCAGACCTGTATCAAGCGTGAATATTGTGTCCATTTTGGCCCAACTTTTCAGGGTTGGACATCTGCAGTCGTATCCAGCTGCGCTCAGTGAAGCAATTTATTCAGGTTATATTTTGCAGGGAGTTATCAGACACTGAAATCCTTGTTTTATCATTTTCAGGTTATATTTTTAATTGGAAATAAATCTGATTTAGAAGCACAGAGAGATGTAACTTATGAAGAGGCAAAACAATTTGCTGATGAAAATGGTAAAGTAATAATTTATTGTATACAATAGAAAGATGAAAGAGCTCATGATGAAAAAAAAAAGATATTGCATAGGAAATAAAACACCTCCCCAGTTTGAGTTGCTTTACTGTTGGCGATTTAATTTTTTGGTCTATGAACTGTCCCCCTGAAAGAATACAGTAGGTATTGTTCTCAGTGGAGTTTTTATACTGTACCTTTAAATTTGTTAGATGTGTTGGTTGTGGATTTGATAGTGCATTTGTTTATAAAGTATTACTAATTATGCAACTCTCATTAGAATAAAATATTTTTAAAAATGGTCAAAATAATCTTGGGTATTTGTTTAAGATGAGAATAACGAAAATAACAATATGAATGTTTGCTGCTTCTATGCACATGTGTTGATTGACCTTCATCTGGAATGTTCAATAACCAAAATTGGAGAGCCTAGGATGTTGAAATACTTATAAGATGAATTGTACGACAAAAAGAGACCGAAACAGAATAGCCATAACCATCTAAAGTTAATCGATAGATACTTTTATTGTTAGCTAACGTTAAAAGTTCACTCTATTTTTCAGGTTTAATGTTTTTGGAATGTAGTGCCAAAACGTAAGTACAGTCAATCAGTAACTATATTGTATATTTAGTTTAATTACAAATCATTTAGTTTATCAGCAATGTGTACAATTTCCCATTCCTCTTACTGCCCTAATATTTTCTATATCATGGACAGGACCTGATACTCTAAAATATTATGCAATGACGTCACACAACAGTGCAGCAATGTCACACGTTCATCTGCGTTGATATATCAATGAAATGCACGCAACTTCATTCAGGGCTTGCTTGATATTCTTGCTTATAAAGTCAGTATCAAAAACAAAAATGCCATTATTTTATAAGTATATAAATTTAACCTTGGGGAAATTTTTATGCCCCGCCATAGCATTAAGTTTTACCCTTGTCCGTCTGTAGGTACGACCGTCCGTACGTCCCAAAGTTGGTTTCCATTCTCTAACTTAAGTTTGCCTCAACTAAATGTTATGAAACTTGTACACAATGCTTATTACCACAAAACACAGATCAAGTTATAATTTTGGTGGTGTCACTTTAACCGTTCTAGAGTTATGCCCCTTTACAAATGGAAAAATTGCTGAATTTTTCGTTTCCGTTCTCTAACTTTAGTTTGCCTCAACCAAATGTTATGAAACATATACACAATGCTTATCACCACAAAACACAGATCAAGTTTGAATTTTGGTGGCGTTACTGTTATCTTTCTAGAGTTATGCCCCTTTACACATAGAAAAATTGCTGTTAATTTAGAAATTTTTCATTATTGCAAAATAGTGACAGGACACAGATAGGTTTCGCAAAAATAAATACTTGTATTTAAAAAAATTTATAGCAATTTTTTTATGCAGCATTTTCTGATTAAGCAATAATCAATCTCACATTTTTTGTCTGTTGTTAAACTATCACAATAATAAATTCATACCAAAAATTTCTCATTTTTTAATACTTTCAATTGGTGAAAAATGTTTACTTGATGCAAAAAAGTGTAATAGGATGTCAATCACATTAGTTCAAACTCACATATTCATTATGCTAGTAATATTATTGTTTTAAAACACTTTAATTAATCTCAGACTGGAACTTTGTCTCGAATTTCCAATGATAGATGAATTTATTAAATTGTCATGTAATATAGAATATAACAACTTTTCTTCATACTTTTCAGGGGAGATAATGTAGAAGATGCATTTTTAGATACAGCAAAGAAAATTTATCAAAATATACAAGATGGAAGGTTTGTACATATTACCTTATATTGTGTCAGTAAAATACCTTACAACAATAAAATGAAATAAGAAATCTAGAGGTTCCCTTAGTGTTTTCCACAATAGGCAAATATCTAAACTATATTGTCCTAAGTCTTAAACAAGCTGTGAATAAGTACATCATACCATGAGTGCCTTATTTGACCTAGTGTTTCACTGTCAGAAGTCACAACTATATTTATCTTTACTTCATTGGATGTTTACCTATTTTTAGTCCCCTACCGACGAAGTCAAAGGGGACTTTAGATTTGCATTCTGTCCGTCTGTCTGTCTGTCTGTCAGTCTGGCAAATCAGTTTTCCACACTTTTTATGCCCCAGTCATAGCGATGGGGCATTAAGTTTTACCCAGTTTTGGTGGTGTCACTATAACTGTTCTAGAGTTATGCCCTTTTACAAATGGAAAAATTGCCTCAACTGATTTTGATAGTTTTTATATTTAGTCTTTATTATGCCCCCGCCATAGCAGAGGTGGCATTAAGTTTCACCCCTGTCTGTCCGTCAGTACGTACGTCCATCCGTACCTCCCAAAATTGGTTTCCGTGCTTTAACTTTAGTTTGCCTCAACCAAATGTTATGAAACTTATACACAATGCTTATTATCACAAAACACAGATCAAGTTTGAATTTTGGTGGCGTCACTATAACAGTTCCAGAGTTATGCCCCTTTACAAATGGAAAATTGCTGAATTTTTCGTTTCCATTCTCTAACTTTAGTTTGCCTCAACCAAATGTTATGAAACTTATACACAATGCTTATTACCACATAATACAGATCAATAATAAAATTGGTTGGCGTCACTCTAACGGTTCTTGAGTTATGCCCCTTTGTAAACATAAAAATTGCTAAATATTTTGTTTCCGTTCTCTAACTTTAGTTTGCCTCAACCAAATGTTATGAAACTTATACACAATGCTTATTATTACAAAATACAGATCAAATTTGAATTTTGGTAGTGTCACTTTTACCGATCTAGAGTTATGCCTGTTTACAAATGGAAAAATTGCTGAATTTTTAGTTTCTGTTCTTTAACTTAAGTTAGCCTCAACCAAATGTTATGAGACTTATACACAATACTTATTACCACAAAACTCAGATCAAGTACAAATTTAGCGTCACTTTTACCGTTCTTCAGTTATGTCCCTTTATAACTTTATATGATATGCAAGCAGGTGCATCATCTGTGTCCCATGGACACATTCCCCATTTATTTTCTTCATGCTTGAAGATATTGATTTGATATTTGGTATATTGTTTTATTACATTGGTAGCATTGAATTACATTGATTTCCCAGTCAAATAAAAACCGATAATTTCACATGTGAAATAAACGTGGTTATTTCACTCTCTGACGTCATACAACAAAAGGCGTTGTCAAGACGTCGATAACGTCGGATCAAAACAAATTGTGAATGCGTAGAAAAAAGATATAGTTCCTTACATTTTCTACATTAATTTCATTAAAAAAAGCCACTTGCCAATGTAATAAAAAGAATAACTAATCAAAGAATTCAAATATCGAAAAATATTCAACTCGTGACGAACAACACTGATAATTAACTCATGCGCTACGCGCATTCGTGAATTAATGTGTTGTTCGGTCACACGTTGAATATTTTTCTCTATTTGAATTCTTCGATTAGTTATTCTATAATTATCATGACAAGTTAGAGATCAAGTTTGACTTATTTTGTTCCGGTCTGATGATTTTGTGCAGAGTTATAGTCCTTGGACTTAGAAAATTCACTTAAATAATCAGTTTTCCGCACTTTTTTTTGTCATGCTTGAGGATATTGACTTGATATTTGTTATATAGTTTACACCATGACAAATTATAGATCAAGTTAGCATTTTGTTCCAATACAATGCATTTTTAACCGGTAGGGGACTATGTATTGCCATGCAATACTCAAAGAATGCTTGTTGATTTTATTTTACCTAATACCCAGAGCTCCAGATAAGAATTCACAAATTGGGGTTTTTACCCAACATTTTTTTTGTAATTGAGTTAAAAAAAAATTCAATTGCATTGTTAATTCCAATTCACCCCTCAAGCAAATATCTAATTGGGTTTTTCACCACCGAGCTCCTGAATGTATTGGATTTTTTCATCATCAAGATATTGAATTGAGGCACATTATAATGTAATTGTAACAAAATGTTCAGTGCTGTCATTATGTCTTGTCACTGCTGACAGCTGAATATTTGGGGTCCCTTCGTGGACCCAAATACTTGAAATTTGTTTGTCTCTCGCTGCAGACTTACATTCATAGCAATGTATATATATATATGAGACCCCATTTTATCGATTTTATTCAGCCATGGATATTTTCTTTTCCAGGCAAAGAATGTGTTATCTGACACTGTGTCTTCAATTAAATTTAGCAGTATTTTCATCAGAGGATGAAATGACACCATAGATGATTTTATCTAAAATATCACATGTAAACGGAGTTGTCGCCTTCTCTGCTAAGAAATTGATTATGTGACTTGTGTATTTCTCAGCTTCTGCATGGCGGTCTGTTGTCATATAGTTCAACAGGCTATATGACTTTGTTACGAGGGGTGATTTTTTTCTGCCTCTCCTACTCATGGTCTGCCAAAGAAAATTTTATAAACTTGATCCCTTATGTTTACCAGGGATACAGCTTTGAGCTAGGGACATTTCCACCTGGGACCCAGATCACCTATTTGATGTAATACTCTATTTTTATAATGAAAGTAGATTTCCTAATATTACAAAAATAGATTTATTCTAACAAATCAAATAAATGTAGATGTATTCATCTGACATTGAAAAGGCACTTCTATCTGTTTTTGTGAAAAAAATTCTAGATTTTTGAATTTTCACTGATTTTTGGACCACCAAGAAAAAACACATGCAAATATCAATATTTTACCACAATGTTTGTCTATTTTAACAATGTATTTCATGTAAATATTTATTAGGTACTTGCATATGATCAATATATCTGACTGACATTTATATGTCAAAATATGCATTGTTTGTCATTTTGGAAGAATAATCCTGTATATGCTATCTTTTGACTGCAAAATCTCATTGAGTATTCATAATATTTAGAATCCTTACAGTTTGAACTTTGCACATGCATATTCATTATCTGTAGGCAAAAAATCATTTTAATTTGTAGTACCTCAAATTTTAGGCCCAAAAGGTCCCTAAGTGTACCTCCTATTTGAACAATGATTATCAAAAATTAGGATTCAAATTAATCAGATTATCCAGGACCTGCTATCAACATATTGTCAGTATATCTTTTGTAATGTTTCCCTGATGTTGATAGTGATTTTGTCTTTTAAGTCTTCAACAATGAGAAAAACCACTACCTTATAGTCAGCTATAAAAGGCCCTAAAACAATGCAAACAAGAAAACCAACAACCTAATTTATAACAAAACAATTTCTGAAAAACAAATACATGCATGACAGACATGAACCAACAACAACCACTGAACTACAGGCTCCTGACTTGAGACAGGGACTTAAAAGATTTGACATTTACTGTCATTATCCTAAAGCTGGATTACTAAAAAAACTATAAAGATTTGATAGGTTATTTCTAGTAAAAATATATGAAAATAGAAAAAGTTTTTAAAATATAAGCCTAAATACATTTCTTTTTTCATTCTTTACTTGCTTTATTTTATCAGCTTGGACTTAAATGCGGCCGAGTCAGGTGTACAACATAAACCAGCCACACCTAGGAATGCAATTAGTACGGACCAGACACCTAATGATAAAGGATGTGCATGCTAGTTTAGTAGATTTTATCATTGTATGGACATATTAATCCATTCCAAATCCTATGGTTACTGGTGGATCTATCAAGACAGTCATTTTTGTTCTTAATCACTTTATATATGTTACTGAAAAATTTACTGTAAAAAACTGGTACTGTATGAGAGAATTAGAAACTGGTACTGTATGAGAGAAATTTAAACTGGTACTACACGAGAGAAATATCAAATATTGTGACTATTTCTCAAACAAATTTCAGTTGTGATTGATCTTGATATGTTTATTCAGAAGACCCAATATTCTACTGAAGGTTGTATTATACAAACATATATAAATAGAATAGAGCATGAATTGTGTGTCAAAGATTTTTCAAACTTATTATCAGTTGTGAGTTTGTGATTGCTGGTAATTTAAACAGGGTAACCTATGTAAAAGATATAATAGAAGAAGGAAAGTTGTTTTTACTGTTTCAAAAGGAGTAGTTTTGATAAGGCCCAGATATGTCCCCTATTTCTAGCTAAAATTTCATATTCGTATTGAATTGCTGTTATCACTATGAATCTTAGTTTAAACAAAGACTTAGTAGATGAAAATTTTTCTTTTTAATTCACGTATCAATGTTCGTTTTATGACAAATCAATTAACATCAATTTCAAGTTTTTACCGAATTAATTGAAAACATGCTAATTTCGATTGGTTTTTAGGATCGGAATCATAAAGCACATAGAACTATAAATTAAACATTAATTTTTTGTTATAACAAATAATGTATCTGACTTGACTATTTAATTTTTCAAACCATTTGCTCTTTGTTTGTTAGGCCTAAATTTTGTGGAAATCGGGGATTTGGTAAAATTTCTCCAAAATCTATAATTTTGGCTGTTCTGGTGTAAAAGTCAATGTTTTAGCAAAGTCTGTCAAAAATTGTTATATTTCACTTTCTAAAATGTTTATTCACCAGCTTGGAACTCATTTCTTCTTGATCGTCCTGAATATGCATGGAATATTTGCCACTGGACGTTAAGCAACCAACAATCAATCAATCAATTTCTTCTTGAAATAATGGACTTGATTTTGGGGCCAAATAGTAAAGACATTAACTGCCTACCCCTGAAAGCATTTTCCGTAATGTATCAATCTTTTTTGACAGCGTTAGTCCTATCTTTTTAAGTCTTATATTGCTGTTGTTGATATATGAGTTTTATGTAAGTTTTAAAATCAGTTGATAGATTTGCCAGTAATCATTTTGAAGTAGAGAATGCTTCTCACAAATTTTATAACAAAATTGCGCTGTCTTTAGTTGAATAATAAATATTGTATTCAGTTTTTAGAACTACAATATAGTTTTCAGCAGGACTGAAAAAAGATGATTTTTTAAGAAAAAAAAATTAAATGTTCAGGACTGATACATAAATGTCATCCAGGAAAAGTACATTGAAATAAATACAATTGATAAATACCTAATACCTCATTCACAAAATCTGATATTAGAATTCTGTTGATGGCTGTCATTTATTCCAAGTATTTTCTCTGGATGTTATACGTGTTTAAACAAAACTTCTCATAAGAAAAAAAAGCTGGAAAACAGTCTTATTAAACTGTCCCAAATGAAACATAGTGAATAAAGTTTGTGAGAAACATTTTGATAATGTGATGACCAGTATTGGTCACATGTCAGTCATATGATATGGTATGCTGATGTATTTTTTGAGCTTTAGTGAATGTGTGAGTGAATGGATTACACTTAATCATTGTGATAACCATTTTGTTTTTAAAGTGATCAAGAATTGTTGAGACTTTTGAAAAAACAATAAAGTTCCTGGAAACGAAAGCATTTGTTGAAAAAAAATCTGTATTGCAAAAAAAAATCATAATGACAATGATTGATTTATATTTATATACAAAAAACCACATCGAAACATTAAAATCTGTTTGAATTAAGAATTACACAAAGAGTACATGTACCTAAAAAAAATAATAGTTTTTCGTCATTAGTTCGAAATAGGATTAATAATATCTTCTAGGTAGGGATGTGTGAGTAATTGTAGTTTCTGCATATTTTAAGTGTTTGTGAGATGACATGACATTGAAGGTAAATATATAATTATTGTGGGCTCAGCAATATTTTCCTTTGTTAATCATATGTAATTACTAAATTGTTGAGAGATTATTTTTTATTTTGTTACCCAGAATAGCATATGTGATCTGCCATGATTTTTTTCTGCAATATTTTCATGAATACTGCTTCATTTTATATAAATTTAGATAAATATGTTAACTATTGGTTTCCTCTTGTCTGTATGATAACCTGCCCTTTCAGAACAAATATCTTTTTTCTTTAAAAATTGTTATGCTTGATTTAGTTTCTCTTATTCCTTACTTGATTAAATTTTGACAGTGTGTCATGTTATCAGAAAACTGTACTGTTTTTTTATGTTGTTGGCTTATATATTTTTATGCAAGGTTTTAGAGGTATCATATTTTGAGGGAAAGTAAGTTCATTTGTACAAATGACACACCAATAATTACTGCTATGGCTTTGGATTGAATTTTTATAACTCATTCAACATTAAACACAACAAAAACAAAAACAAAAACAATAGTACAAACACATTTTTACTTACACAATTGGTTTATAATAGAGAAAGTTTTTTATTAATTCATTTTACACAACTGTAATTTTTTGGGGCTCAAAATTCAAAAATATCTTTTCTACATTAAAACTGTCCATGGTGTAAAATTTCCTTTTCAAAAATATGTCCAGGCATTTATCACAACATTTAACTTCAAATCTTATTGATAAGGGGTAATGGTGTCACAGATAAAACAATAACATTTAAAGAGATAGATAGATTAGACGTTACTGTTTCCTGGTTATCTTACTTTGTTTTTCAGCGCTGTTAGTGCATTTAGGGAAGTATAAATTATGGACCTTTATTGACTGAAAAAATGATAAGCACAAACCACATTTTTACAAGCACCATTCGATATATAAATATTTCCCAAATAATGCCTCATAAACACCTATACCCATCAATTCTAAAGAAGATATTTGACCCTGCCAGAATTTTTTCTTGACAAAAAAAAGAAAATGTGTCTTTCCTGAGGATTGTACCTTTTAAATAAAATTATACTCAATATGGATTTTTGTAAGTTTATTGAATTTTTCATGGATTCCATTGATAGTAGCAATTTATTCATTTGCTCAGTAAAAGCAGATGAAAATTATGATGCAAAGTTTAGTAACAGCAGCTCTTTGTCTTAGAGTGAATAGTAATACAATGTACTCTTTAAATACACCCTTAAAAGATTTAATGCAGGCATGTCCATTGCAGTGTGTTGGTTGACAAATAAAACACTTTGATACAAATTCCACATAGAATTTATTTAGAATTAACCACAAAGTTTGAATCACTTCAACCGGTATGAATATTATCTGTATAGTAGGTAAATTAATCCACAGTATTGGAATATACGACAGGGACCAAAAAAGTAATATATTTTTATTGCTAGATAAGAAGCTTTGAGCATGTGTTCTGTCCTTTATATATCAAATATTTTTATACAGTGCTTCAGTAGACAGGTTTGCTTCAGGAAGTCATTATTACATGGGAACTTGTTTAGAATTGTTTAAAGTATGTATGAACAATGAATGTATTGCATCAGTGCTATATTTAACATAAATTCGTTGTTTTCTAGTTCTGTTGTTATATTATTTGTTGCAACATGTAGATAAAGTGTACTAATTGTATCACATTATTTATTATATAATTTTATCATTATCTTAGATATTCATGTACAATTATGTGTACAATATGTGATAAAACTGACATAATACACTGTCCGTTAGTTGTCTCCCCTTACAATACTATCATCCTTTCCTGTCAGGTGGTTGTTACATATAATTTGATGTAACTTAGTAGACACACCAACTCAATTTAATCCTAGAAATATAAAAAAAGACACACAAAATTTTTATTATTATTTAGATTAATTTTCTATTTGCTTTCTCTATGCGAAAATGTTAGAGCCTTAGAAAAATACTTGTTTTGGCAAAAAATGAAATAGCAGACTATATAGTAGAAACATCTCAGAATAATGTTTTGTAGTGATGAGTAGTCAGCAACTCTAATCATGATTCTATACAACTCTAATCATGATTCTATACAACTCTAATCATGATTCTATACAACTCTAATCATGATTCTATACAACTCTAATCATGATTCTATACAACTATTATCATGATTCTATACAACTCTCATCATGATTCTGTACTAAACACACTGTACCATGATCATCATATGTTCACAATATGAAAATTTTAATGTCAAGTATATTGTGTAAATAATGATATTGACAAATAAATTATACAAAAAATGTTTAGTTCATATATTTATTGCCTGCTCACTAGATCAAGGAGTATGTAGCGGTCATCATACTGGTTCTGTTTGTCCATCATCGGAACATTGTGTTTGAGCTTTTGATTTTGCCATTTGATAAGGGACTTTCCAATTTGAATTTTCCTTGGAGTTCAGTATTTTTGTTATTTTACTTTTATATCTGGTCTAAACCAATGATTGGATTTCAGAGAAACTTTTGGAGAATATTCCGTACCTGATTGCATTGTGTGCTCCTATTTTATTGTCCCCTGCGCAATGCATTGCGGGGGGACACAGAAATACTGGGCGTCTGTCCGTCATTTGAAAAACTGTGCCGATCAATTATTTTTTAAAGAGTTATGCCCCTTGGAAACATTAATTATATGCAAAATTGCATTGTTAGCGCTCTTATGTGTACAATTCTTGCCATATTTTTATGAAACTTATGTTGTAGGTGTATATCATCAATGTCTTGGATGAGTTCGAAAATCTGTGCCTATCAATTATTATACGACCGCAAAAAAATTTTGTGGTCGTATATTGGTATGACGTTGGCGTCGTCGTCGTCCGGCGTCGTCGTCCGAATACACATTGGTTTTCGCACTCTAACTTTAGTTTAAGTGAATGGATCTTTTTGAAATTTTACCATAAGGTTAAATACCACAAAAGGAAGGTTGGGATTGATTTTGGGGGTTATGGTACCAACAGTTAAGGAATTAGGGGCCAAAAAGGGGCCAAAAATAAGCATTTTCTAGTTTCCAGACAATAACTGTGGAACGGTGTATGGATCTCTCTGAAATTATACTACCAGTTTCCATACCACAAAGGGATGGTTAGGATTTGTTTTGGGGGGTTATGGCTCAAACCGTTTAGGAATTAGGGGCAAAAAAGGGGGAAAAACAAGGTTGTCCTGGTTAATGGACAAATACTTTAGTACAAAACATAATTTAAAGCAGTGTAAGGGAGATAAATCAAATACATCATTGAAATTATCTCCCTTACACTGCTATTAAATTATGTATAAAGTAATGGTTAATGAACAATAAAGATAATTTAAAACAGTGTAAGGGAGGTAATCCAAATACAACGTTTTGGTTACTTCCCTTACACTGCTTTTAAATTATGTTTAAAGAAATGCATATTTATAAAGGAAGACCAGGAAAAATATCTGCAAATGTTGCATCTTTTTTTTTACAAAAAAATCCATATGAAAGATTTGACACTATATTTTTAATTCTATTATAAAATAGATTAAGTTAGCACTATGGTAAATTTAAATTGGTAATTATGGTTGCCAACTCCATTGGAAATTTGAATTGAGATTTTGACCATATCTTGAGGGAAAGAATTTTTGGGGGGAAAAAAAGGGGGGGGGGGGATAAAAAGAAATTGTGGGGGGTCAATTTTTTCTCATTTCAGATTTCAGAAATTAAAAAGAATTATTCTTCAAATATTATTTTTTTTTCAAATTTCAAATATTGAAAAATTTCAAGAAGTAATCTTTAATTGCACAGTATGGCGCATTAGATTTGTAAAATCTTTGATCACATTTATTTATTTGTTATGCCGAATCTAACAGTGTATTTAGATTTTTAATTTTGGGTCCAGTTTTCAAATTGGTCTACATTAAGGTCCAAAGGGTCCAAAATTAAACTTTGTTTGATTTTAGCAAAAATTGAATATATGAGGTTCTTTGATATGCTGAATCTAAACATGTATTTAGATTTTTGATTTTTGGCCCAGTTTTCAAGTTGGTCCAAATTGGGGTCCAAAATTAAACTTTGTTTGATTTCAACAAAAATTGAATATATGGGGTTCTTTGATATGCTGAATCTAACCATGTATTTAGATTTTTTAATTGTGGACCCCGTTATCAAATTGGTTCATATTGAGGTCAAAAGGGTCCAAAATTAAACTTTGTTTGATTTCATCTAAAATTGAATTATTAGGGTTCTTTGATATTCCAAATCTAACCGTGTATTTAGATTTTTAATTTTGGGTCCTGTTTTTTAAATTGGTCTACATTAAGGTCCAAAGGGTCCAAAATTAAACTTTGTTTGATTTCATCAAAAATTGAATTCTTGGGGTTCTTTGATATGCTGAATCTAAACATGTGTTTAGATTTTTGATTATGGGCCCAGTTTTCAAGTTGGTCCAAGATAGGGTCCAGTATTTAAACTTTGTTTGATTTCAACAAAAATTGAATATATGGGGTTCTTTGATATGCTGAATCTAAACATGTAGTTAGATTTTTGATTATGGGCCCAGTTTTCAAGTTGGTCCAAATTGGGGTCCAAAATTAAACTTTGTTTGATTTCATCAAAAATTGAATTATTGGGGTTCTTTGATATGCCAAATCTAACCGTGTTTTTAGATTTTTAATTTGGGTCCCGTTTTTTTGAAATTCGTCTTCATTGAGGTCCAAAGGGTCCAAAATTAAACTTAGTTTGATTTTAACAAAAATTGAATTCTTGGGGTTCTTTGATATGCTGAATCTAAACATGTGTTTAGATTTTTGATTATGGGCCCAGTTTTCAAGTTGGTTCAAGTTGGGGTCCAAAATTAAACTTTTTTTGATTTCAACAAAAATTGAATATATGGGGTTCTTTGATATGCTGAATCTAACCATGAATTTAGATTTTTTATTTGTGGGCCCCGCTATCAAATTGGTTCATATTGAGGTCAAAAGGGTCCAAAATTAAACTTTGTTTGATTTCATCAAAAATTGAATTATTGGGGTTTTTTGATATTCCAAATCTAACCGTGTATTTAGATTTTTAATAATTAAGTCCCGTTTTTTAAATTGGTCTACATTAAGGTCCAAAGGGTCCAAAATTAAACTTAGTTTGATTTTAGCAAAAATTGAATTCTTGGGGTTCTTTGATATGCTGAATCTAAACATGTGTTTAGATTTTTGATTATGGGCCAAGTTTTCAAGTTTGTCCAAGTTGGGGTCCAAAATTAAACTTTGTTTGATTTTAACAAAAATTGAATATATGGGGTTCTTTGATATGCTGAATCTAACCATGTATTTTGATTTTGGACATTGGACCATAATAGGTAAATTAAAAAAATTCAAGTTCTTAGACCACATTCTTTCTGTGTCAGAAACCTATGCTGTGTCAAATATTTAATAACAATCCAAATTCAGAGCTGTATCAAGCTTGAATGTTGTGTCCATACTTGCCCCAACTGTTCAGGGTTCGACCTCTGCGGTCGTATCAAGCTGCGCCCCAGCGAAGCATTTTATTTTTAAATGAGTTATGCCCCTTGGAAATATTATATCGAAAATCACATTGAATTTGCTCTGAAGCATTCATTTCTCCAAGATATTTATGAACAATTTAAAAAAAAAAGTGTATTTTTTAGCTATTGCCCTTGTACCTTGGATAGATAAAATATGTGCAACGTGGGAGACATTGGAACTCTGTTCTTCTATTACATTGGGAAAATATACAGTACCTTATTGCATTGTGCACTTCAATTTTAATATGAGTGCAAATTTGTTGTTGTATAATGTTATGAAGTTTTCAGCGTCGTCCCAAGACGATTGCTTTCCAGACAATAAATTGAGTATGGATCTCTATGAAATTGTACCACAAGGTTCCATACCACAAAAGGAAGGTTGTGGTTGAGTTTGGGGGTTATTGTCTTAACTGTTTAGGATTAAGCGCTAAAGACAAGCATTTTTCTTGTTTCAGGACAATAACTTGTGTATGAGTGTATGGAACTCTGTTCTTCTATTACATTGGGAAAATATACAGTACCTTATTGCATTGTGCACTTCAATTTTAATATGAGTGCAAATTTGTTGTTGTATAATGTTATGAAGTTTTCAGCGTTGTCCCAAGACGATTGCTTTCCAGACAATAAATTGAGTATGGATCTCTATGATATTGCACCACAAGGTTCCATACCTCAAAAGGAAGGTTGGGATTGATTTTGGGGGTTATGGCACTAACTGTTGAGGAATAAGGGGCCAAAAAAAATACTTTTCTTAGTGTAATTTAAAGTCTTGAATTCTTTAATAGGCTGAATCTAATCTTGTATTTAAATTTTAAATTTTGGACACTGTTTTTGAATAGGTCCACATTGAGGTCCAAAGGGTCCTAAATTAAACTTTGTTTGATTTCATCAAAAAATTGAATTCTTGGGGTTCTTTGATATGCTGATTCTAACCATGTATTTAGATTTTGGATATTGGACCATAATAGGTAAAATTCCAATTTCAAATTTTTAAGTTCTTAGACCACATCCATTCTGTGTCAGAAAGTATGCTTTGTCAAATATTTAATCACAATCCAAATCCATAATATTATATGTCGAGGAAAGGCTACATATTTTGAATACTAATGTTCAGCATACCATACCTCTGTTGCACACCAATGTGTTTCATAAGTCCCTTATTTCAGATATAGATCATCAGTAAATGAGTGTGTTCAATCAAGGTATGGGGTAATTGAAAAACTTGGAAGGAGAGGTCTTTGTGAGTTTAGGTGATTTCAATCAATATAGATGTCTATGATTTGAATGATTTCCATATATCATTGCAGCAAGGTTATATAGATTCCATGGAAGTCATTATTGCATTAGTAGTTGTTTAGTATGTATATATAAGTGAATAAAAGGAGATGTTGGGTACGTTCAGGCAAAGGAAACTTCAATGAGACAACAATCCGATGAAAAATCTCTGAGGGCAACATACAACCTTGAACAAAAGGTTATAAGAAGCATTATATTTCTTCCAAAATAATGATTTGTATCACAGTTTATAGTATTTAGGACTGCCAAGACAGTTAACCACTGCTCATAAAGTCCAAACAGTTCACTTGACATACTATAATTTAGTGTATAATGAAGAGGAGAAAGATACCTGAAGGTTGAAATTACATGTATCTATGTATTTTTAAATTTACAAGGTTGCCAACCCTGTTTTTAGTTTTTTAGGAATGAAAACTTGTAGACTCATCTAGTAAATATGTCAACTACATTCAGTCATT